CCCCCCCCCCCCCCCCCCCTGGGGGCCGTCACGATACGTCGCTGCGGCCTAACTTTTTTCACGCCAGTCCGAGCCTGGGGAAATGAGGAATATACCTCATGTTGCTTTTAGCCAACATGGACATGATACGCCCGGGTCCCAGGAAGCATTTTCCTTGAAATTTTAAAAAAAATTTCTCCTAATAAAAAACATTAGCGGATCCAGCAAATTGGCAACATTGTATTTTCTCCATTTAAACCTATGGAAATGTATCGATTCTTGGAGAGACCAGGTGCTCCGACGAGAATCGATTATATAGCATGGGTTTAAATGGAAGAAATCCGGTGTTGCCAAATTGCTGGATCCGTCTCTGATAAAAAATAAAGCAGGAGCGGTGATTTTGAAAAACCGCGACCGAGATATGCCTTTTTGCAGTTTCACCGTTGCGGAAAAAATATTGCTTCAATGGCAGTCGATAATTGTTCTACTCTTTCCTTTGCAGATGATGAAATTTACAAAGCAAAGGCCTCTTTCTCAAATGCCCACGCTCAGAGATGTGGTAAGTTCAACGTAAATCTTAGACAGCAAGCAGAGACTATTGAAAACGTAAAACTAATTAATTCATGATATGAGTTCGTGGTGCTCGTTGAATACTGCAATAAGAGGAAGGTTAAAAGCAAAAAAATCAGAATAGAGTTTCGAGTTTAATTTTGTGCCTCGTAAGTATACAAGTAACGCATTGCTTGATGGCGCATACTGATAAATTATATCTTGAGCTACAGCTAGAAAAAATTGAACCGAGTTAAGCAGGAAGGAATTAGGCTACATCAGCTACTGCAAAATTTAATTAGGTTTAATGTTTTACATGAAAACAGGTGTGCGGATTTTCGTGCAATTTTTAGTGAATTTTTTGCAAAGCACGAAGCAAATTCCTTGAAATTTTCAAAGGAATCCCCACGAGCGTTCTCTAGAATATAAAAAATTAAAGTGCCCGCTTAAATTCCGCAAAAGCTGACGCGGTTTGGTTCAATGGCGTGGCGTGCTTTGCGATATATCGATTGTTATGCCATTTAAACCTATGGAAAAGGATCGATAAACAGGGTGTTCGCAGCGAACACCTTGATAATCGATTCTTTACCATAGATTTAAATGGTATAATAATCGATATATCGCAATTCACGCCACGCCACTGTGGTTCCTTTCTGCTAAACGCAGTTCAATTAAGAGTCAACTTGATCACGTGTCGCCCAAAATACCGCAGAATATCCGATTCGGATCTGTCGCTCCTCTGTGGCGGAGGAATTCTGAGGGCTGGACGATATTCTGAGATATGCCATAACACCTAAATAACCGCCGCAGAAACAGAATTTTTGCAATCTTAGAAAAAATTAATTTTTATGGAGGAAATGGAGGAAAAAACTTAGAAATGAGCAGTTGAACTATGATTTTGAAGTCCCAGACCGTAGAGATGAGTAAGTAGGAAAGCGTGGAAAAGCAAAGAATCACGACGTAACATGGTAGCATTATATGTATCGGACGGAGAGATATTGGACTTCATGCTCATTGCTCAGCCATGGCTATTCTAATTTAATTTACAATGAAGCAGGTTTTTTCTATTTTTATCCGGGGAAATAAATACGAACATGGCGCTCAATTTCGTGGAATCTGGCAGGATATCTACTAAAACAGGCTGGCCAAAAATCAGTACTTTTACAGAACTTTTTCAGTACACTCCCAGGAAATTCAGTACCTCCTTGATAGAAAAATTCAGTGCTTTTTCAGTAGCTCCAATTGGCGAAATTCGGAAAATTTAAAGACTTTGAATTTCCCAATCAAATTGCGACAGAAATGACAAAAAAATGAAAAAATTCCGGACCTTCTTGCGGAATTCCGCACTCTTTCAGTACTCCCGGACCGCCCTTAAAAAATCAGTACTATATCCGTACTTTCCGAAAATTCCGGACTTGTAGACACCCCGTCTAGGTACTCTCTGATAGTAGACGAGCAAAGAGTCCAAAAATTTTACAGCATGATACATATTTTAGAATCTTTCTCAAAAGGGCTAAACCTCAACCTGCATTTTCCTCCTCCAGCCAGGTAGATGGAGTCAAGACCACGAGGGTGAGATCCATCGTTCCAACGACGAGACCCTCCAAAACCCGAGATTCATGTATCATCAGCAGGAGAAAGAATCAATGACGGGGCCCTCGAAAAAACAAAATAGTCCATCCTCAGAGTTGAATGAGAAGAAAAAGCCAAACTTGTTTGGACCTTATTTTCGAGGACAGGAAGATGGCGTAAAGAATTCGAAACTCCCAAGGCGAAGGTTGCTGCGAGGTAGTTCAGACGACGAGTTAGCGTACAATCAGTCGCATAGGTTCGTGTGCGACACATGCTCCAGCAATCGCATAGCCTGGGTTAATGCCAAATGCGGCAATATGTTCGCTTTTGGGTTGATGAACAGGCCGGGCTTGCATCATGATGGGTACGTGCCTGACGACATAGGCATCGGGGAGGAGTACGAGTACGTCGCGTTCGAATATTGCCTCGATTGCGGGCAAATTCAGGATGGAGTCCATGAATTCCCCCTGCCGGAGACGTATTTTGAGAAACATCGGATTATGGCGATAAACCCTGATTACTACGAGGATGATAGCGAAGATACGAAAACTCCCAAGTAGCATCGTCATCTACTTTCTAAGTGGCGCTCATCAAGAAAACGTCTAATTTCTAGGAAGATCAATTTTCTTGAAAGAAAATAGGTATAAAGTAGATCTAGAAAATAGACACGAGAAAATAGAAAGAAAATACATTGTTTCCTTGCATTTTCTTAAAAGAAAACATTAAGAGATTGGCTGGAAAATAATTCTACTTTCAATAAATTTTCTATCTTTTTCCCGAATGGAAAGTTGACAGACAGTAGACCTATGAAATAGATCTATTTTCTTTGGTCAGACTTTTGACTCGCAATGTTTTTTCTTTCAATTTTCCAGATAACTCTCATTTCCTTGGTATTTTCTACAAGTTTTCTTAATATTTGTTTTCTGGGAACAAATTCTATTTTGCTACTTGGGCTACTGCGAAGATAGGCAGATAATTAACTCTATTTGGACTAGATTTTGCAATTGAATCAGTGAGAACGAAAATACACCAACTCGGTGGCTCGAAAATGCCGCATCTGTTTCAACTTGGAAATGTGAAAAGTCCTCAAGCACCTGCGTCTTTCGTCACCGAACTTCTTTTTCTTGTACTAACTTTTTCAACCACTGTGCAGTTTTGCGTGTGTCTCGATTATTTTCATTTTTTCGAGTTGGTGTGTTTTCGTTCTCACTGATTCAATTTTCATTTAAGACGGTCAATCTTCCTAAAAGTCATTGACATCATAGCGCATCTGTTCCAGCTTTGACCTTTAAAGTTTCCTTAAGTACTAATTGTCTTTCGGCACCAAAACTCTTTATCTTAAACACTTCTTCGCCAACTGTGCAATTTTGTGTTTGTCTAGATTATTTTCATTTTTTCGAGTTGATGTGTTTTCGCCCTCACTGATTCAATTAGGAACTCTGGTAACAATTGGAAGTAGGATCTGTATTCCAAAATGCTATAGATCTAGCCGGCTGAAAGATTTCCTATGGCTTCTGTATCCGGCTATACAATTTCTTAAGGCCTTTTATAGCAGATGGCGATAAAGCTACAGCCAAGCGATAAACTGCGCATAGCCCGGCGCACAGTGGATCCAGTCAATTAGAGAGGTCGGACATGAAATTTTTGACATAAACTGCGAATTTTGATGTTTATTTCGTCACATTTTAAAGTTCAAGGGGTGCTCCTAGCAGGCCCGCCACAAGGGGGGGGATACTGGGTCCTTGGTACCGGGGCCCGGGCCCTGGAGGGGCCCGTGACGCAGGTGACAAACCACTACGAATTCATGTGTAACCCTTGTCTCGTAGGGAAAAGTGAAAAAATTACCCTAAAAATTCTGCAAAAGGTGAATAAAGTATGAAAACACGCTAGGGCACTATACAATTTTTCTTACTTTTTTAGAGATTTTCAAGATTTTGAGTTTATGTAGAATGATATTTTTAGTAACTGTGTTTCATTTTCTTCCGTTGTCGGATGCTAAGAGGCTCCTTTCTTGGCATCCTCGACTTCAATGGCTTAACTCCCTTGCCATAGACGTACGAAAGGGGAGGCCAGGGGGGCCCGGCTCCCCATAGAATTGAAAATTATCATCTGCCCCCTCAAAAAAAAATTTATAGATGTTTTGAATGGAACAATTCGAAAGTTTTTGGTGCTGAAAGTAAACAAAAAGGCGTAATTATTCTGCAGAAATTGATGGAAAATCTCCATCATAAGAGCTTCATAATGCGTCCATATAGATTTAAAATTTCAAAAATTTCCCGGGGGAGGCCCCCCGCCCCCCCCCCCCTGTGCTAGGGGCCCGGGCCAGAAAATTGGTACCAGGGCCCGAGATGGGATGTGGCGGGCCTGGCTCCTAGAAGAAAATTTCACAAAGAAACCAATGGAACCACTTTCAAAACCTCAAAGTTTTGTATAAACGGAGTTGTATAGGTAAGCGTGTAAAGTTTCCAAATTTTGTCCGACCTCTCCATTGACTGGATCCGCTGTGCGGCGATAAGAACTAGAGCCCGGCTGCACGATTTTCTATCGCCTTCTATTCCGGCTATAAGAATTCCTATGGTATTTTGGAGCGTAGCTCCTATTGCCAATTTTTAACAGGGAACTACAATTCGTTGCTTCCTAAACGAAGAAATGTAACTCTATTCCAGGGTTGCAAAATTGACCAAGACAAAGTGATCGTTTACAGGAATGTACCCGCGACATTTCGGTCAAAAAGAGCGACGCCAAAAACGACCGTTTTTTGGCACAATTTGGGCCAGAAGGGATTTTTCTGAAACCGGGCCCAAACGATACCTTATGATACCCTAAAACTCTGGTGAAAATTTTAGCTTGAGTATACGCACGGTTTTTGAGAAATGAGGGGGCAAAGTTGGCAAATCGCCATCATTCTGGACAGCATTTCTACAGCAAAAAGACGGGAAAAATGGACAAAAAAGTTACACCTTTGATGGGTTTCGGCTGTAAATGTTCTCATTGGGCCCCCAAGCATTTAACTTTGTTCAGTTTCAAAAATTTTGGTCGCACAGTGGTCCAAAATGGGGGGAAATCGTCGAAAAATCAGGATTCTTCATCAAATTTTTAGAAATGGAAGTAAAATTGTCGGTCTGCTGCAGTTTTCATGGCTAACAATGTTCGTATCCGTCATCAATGTATGAAATTGTGTTCAGCTTCACAAATTTACATCGCACAGTGGTCAAAAATGGGGGAATTAGTGGACAAATTAAGATCCTCTATCAAACTTTTTAAAAATGAAGTGAAACTGTTGGTCCCCGGTAGAGTCTAGATCCCGGAAAAATTCTTTTTTTGACTATTTAAATCTTTCTTTAATTTTTTCTCTCCATTTTTCCTTCTTTTTTTTAAATTTCTGAAAGTTTGCATATTTTATTGAGATAATGCTACAAAGTCTATTCTATAACAATGTTCTATAAACAATACGGTCTGACATGTAGTAATAATTAAAAAAATTAAAAACATGAATTTTTCCGGGATCTAAACTCTACTGGGGACCAACAGTTTCACTTCATTTTTAAAAAGTTTGACAGAGGATCTTAATTTGTCCATTAATTCCCCCATTTTTGACCACTGTGCGATGTAAATTTGTGAAGTTGAACACAATTTCATGCATTGATGACGGATACGAACATTGTTAGCCATGAAAACTGCAGCAGACCGACAATTTTACTTCCATTTCTAAAAATTTGACGAAGAATCCTGATTTTTCGACGATTTCCCCCCATTTTGGACCACTGTGCGACCAAAATTTTTGAAACTGAACAAAGTTAAATGCTTGGGGGCCCAATGAGAACATTTACAGCCGAAACCCATCAAAGGTGTAACTTTTTTGTCAATTTTTCCCGTCTTTTTGCTGTAGAAATGCTGTCCAGAATGATGGCGATTTGGCAACTTTGCCCCCTCATTTCTCAAAAACCGTGCGTATACTCAAGCTAAAATTTTCACCAGAGTTTTAGGGTATCATAAGGTATCGTTTGGGCCCGGTTTCAGAAAAATCCCTTCTGGCCCAAATTGTGCCATTCTTGGCGTCGCTCTTTACCTGATTTTCGCATGAGATCAGAAGATAAATCAGTGAAATTTTCGACCAGGAAAGCCCAAGATTTTCCTTCTTAAAGTGCAATTTGCGTGGAGAACTTTGGCAATATTGAAATGTACTTAAGTTCTTTCGTGAGGGAAACGGAGAATTGAAGTGCTTGGAAGACAAGGCGCAAAATATTCATAAACTCAACTAAAACTAGTTTGATACTTGAAAAAAAGAGACTAGAAACTCTTTCTTTCATGTCTGAAAGAACAGTCTGAATGAATGTCTGAAAGAATAGCGAAAACTGCACGACTAAAATCCAGCTTTAAAGCATCAAAAAGTGAGTTTTAACTTCTTTTCTACCAGAGGGCTCCATGTAATTTTAAAGGTGTAAACACGTTTTGGTTGAAATAGCAAAAACTGCATTTATGCACCTCGTCCTCCATCCTCCAAGCCCCTCAATTTCTATAGCTCGGGTTAAAAAAAAACGTATGCACCATTAGTTTCCCTATAGACTTATGTATTTTTATACGGATGAGCCAGAAATTATAGTTCCTAATTTCAACAGCTAATCCATTTCTAACCGCCTATACGAGAAGAGGGACTTTCGTCCACGATGAATCTGCAGTACCTCGCGATAATTAACGATACCATACCATACCGTAATTTGGGAGGAACTTACTTTGTTTTTGAGAGTGGTTTAGATTTTTCAGGCGACTTTCACGAAATAATTATGTTTGCGTTACATTTTGAGGCTATTCGGGATTAAAGTGAGTAAAGGTTCTAATAAGAACGAGATGTTGGTGATGTTGGTGAACTTATTTCAAAAAGGTTGCGAACAAAATAGACCTTCAAAAATCGCATTGAAGGGCGACTTTTCAAAGTCAATATTTTTTCTTTGTTTTTTCAATCAATTGAATTCTGCCTCTTTTTGTCCGCTATAGCTCATTAACTTGGACTAATTTTTTTTTCTTTTCTTTTCTTTTTTTTCTTTTTTTTTTCATCGATTAGGTCCAATAAGTAGGTAAACTTGCTTTTTCCGAAATCGCAAAAATTTTGCTTTATCGGTTTCATTCACTGCCAGCTATATCAATGGCTATAAAGTGCGAAACTACGTACCTCACTCGCGGTGCTTTGAAAAGTCAGCTTCTATTTTATTTTTACGGGAGGAAACAAGCCAACTTTAAAACTTTAAATTTTTACACTGACGGAAAAGAAAAATCAACGAACTTTTCCATTGTCTAGTTTTTCGAGGAGACCATGAAGTATGACAGGAAGTCTGCAGCGTCGCAAACGGAGATAAGAGGTTTCACACTTTGGCAATCGATATGTGAATTTACAATTGAGTAAACTGACGAGAAAATAAAGCAACTCAAGTGAAGATTTTATATCGACCATACAAAAAATGTGATTCCAGCTTCGAAAGCATGCTTCGAAGCCAGGATGAGTTCCCGTAAATGTAAAAAAAACAACAACACAATTTTAAATTAATAAAAAATTATATTTAATTCATATTTTTTAATGACTAAGATCATTGTGATCCGATCATGAACCGGATGCGAGGAAGAGTTTTGCGTGTTCAGTCTCGCGCCTTTGACACAATGACGAGACGTGTATGATCGAGTATCGATATTTCCTCCATTCGAAGCCATGGTAGAGAATCGATTAATAAGGTCTTCGTTGCGAAAACCCTATTCAACGATCTTTTTCCATAGGTTTGAATGGCAGATCAATCAATCTATCGCTAAGTACGCTACGCCACTGCTTTGACAACAGTTCAGAACTGGAAGACAATTTTTAGGGTTCTTTTAACGCACGGTTCATCCGGTTTGAAAGTAAAATATAAAACAAGATAACAAAAACAAAGTTAAGATATATTGTAAATTATACAACCACTTACTCTAAATTTAAGAGTTTCAGTTTCAGTGCGGGAGTTTTTTTAACTGAAAAGTTGTTACTTACAACTTACAACTTACTTAGATGTATAACTGACTTGCATTTGAATTAGTTCAGTATATTACACTTACATGGCCTTACAAAATTTACAATTTTAACGGTTTTAATTTTTCAATTTTTTGTATTAATTTAATTAATTTGTTTAATCAATTTTATTCTACAGAAATACAGTGAGATTTGACTGCAATTATTTAAAAAAAGACTGACAATATTAATTGAAAAAAAAAGACGTTTTAAGACAGTATAGAAGAAAGTTGACAACTGAGGTTTATTCAGTGCTTAGATTTGATGGGTACGGCACGGCATTTTTACAAAATGACAGGCACGCATAATAAAGTAGTGTAAAAGAGAGTAAACAAACTGGCCAGCGGCATATCATTTTAAATACTGACATGGAAAATAAAAATTGCCGGTACACGATAGAGTTCCAAAGTAGGATTTCTAAAGGTAAATTACGACATGATCAAATCAATTTTGAGTAGAGTATCTTTCTGATGAGTGTTGAGTCATTCTCAATTTCTTACTCTCTTTCATTACCTACATATATTTATTATATAATTAATTGCCGCACCAAAGGAAGTCACACGCGACAAAATCGGAGACAATGTAAAAATAATCTTCGTGAATGATCATTACGACAGAAGAAAGCGCTGGCGCTTCGGTTCGATTCCTTAAAAAAAAGAAAAAAAATACTTCTGCAAAAGGCAGAGTAAAGTCTTGGAAAAATTGATATTAACCAAAATTGAAACGTCAATAAAATTTGAGATTTTACAAATATTTTCGAGATATTCATTTTCGGCATCAACCTCAATAATTAGGGAAAACAATTTTCTAAAATGCGAAGTCCGGCTTGGCTGAGTTCAGTTCTTGCTGGTTGCTGTAAAAATGTACGAGAAAACAGTTCTTTTCGGATTCGTTTGTATTCATCTACAATAAAACGGACCGTTAAGACGATGTCATTAGGAATGGACCTAGAAAATGTTTCATTCTTTTTAATCGCTTTTGAATGTTGACCAAATTTTAAATTCAACGGCCAAAGACCAAAGCAAAGCCAGATTCTGAATGTAGGGAATCTTGCACAAGAGTTATAACAAGTATACTGTATAGGACACGTACAAGTCTCTATCTTTCCTCGAGTGAACTGCGTGTTATGATTAAGTAAAAAAATCGCTGCATATAATCTTAGTGCTGTAGCGAGAGCAAATACTTTCTTCATGTTGGAACCTGGCTAATTTTAAAAGACCGCTACAAAAGGCCTCATTCTCGTTGCTTTTTCATTTAAATTTCTAAAAAACAAAACAAAAAACATGCATTCTAGGTCCATTCCGATCCGTTGCCATGAAATAAAATTAATACTTAACTATATGTACAATAATTAAAATGTCTAAGAATAAGATCAATCAATTTTTCTTCTAATAATTTTACTACAAAAGTAATCGGTTTCATTTTTGACACAAGGCTGCAGGTCAGAAGGGGTGTTGATTGGCGAAAGATTTCTTGATTAAACAAATTAATTATGAATTGACAGTAATTTGTTTGATGCTAAAAGTCTGAATCAAGTGCTCAAAATGATAGTCTTCGGTTAAAATTAAATAGAGAGATCAAGTTTAAATGGTCAAGTTACAGACTGATTTTTATTTTCATTGTAAAAAAGCACAATACTGATTTGTCCTCTGAAAGCGATCTAATTAGTTTTTTGGGGGATGCTCGGCAGTCATCTGCGACCACGAAGAGACAGACGTTCGGTGACATTTTCACTGGGATACTGCCTGCCAGGGGGCGATCACAAATTTTGCTTTGAAAGGATAACACGCCTGCACATCAAAAAACTGGAAAAAAAAAAAAAACACATTGGATCTAGAGTCTAGACTCTTGAAAACATCGACAAGAAAAAATACTCTTGATTCAATCAGATTTAAGCTTAAATCAAGAACCAAGCTTCTTAATTTGAGCGGACTTCCTTTTGATTTAAGCTAAAATCTGATTGAATCAAGAGTCATTTTTCTTGTCAATGTTTTCAAGAGTCAGGACTCCAGATCCAATGTGTTTTTTCCAGTGCATTATTCGTTCCCTGAATACTTCACTGATTTTTTGTGGCACAGCATTTCTTACGAGAAGAAGTTCAATTTCACTTCAGTTAATTTTAATAAAACTTCGGATGAAAAATCATTGATTCTTTCCCAAAGGTTACTCAGGAAACTTTAAAAAAAAAACTCTGTAGAAACACGTAGAAATCGACACCCCTCTCTGCCAAACAATATTTTTGACTACACTTTGCTCTCTCCACGATCCTTCGTGAAAGAACGTTTCTTGTGACAAATTTGATAAGTGTACGCTGAGCATCTCACAAGGTTCAATCTAGAGAGGTTCTTTTCTATAGGTCCATAGAAATGTGCTGAAGATTCAGCGCGATTCTCACAAGTCGACAGCACTTTGATTATTCAATTTCAATCAATTGAGGGGCTTGGAGGACAAGGCGCATGAGTGCATTTTTTGAAAAAAAAAAAAAAAAAAAAAAAAACACGAGATGTTGATGATTTCAAGTAAAAATGCATATTCTGTGAAAAATTCGCTCCTGAATTCAAATGTTTAAGCACCAAAAAACCAGTTTGAACTTTCTTTCCGCCATAAGGATCCATGTAATTTCGAAACTTCAAACCTCGAAATAGTAATAACTGCACGTATGCGCTTTGTCCTCCAAATCAATTCTAGACGAGGTAGCCTGCCTTCATTTACACGGATTTTTTTACACGCGTTTAATGGGCGAGGTTCAGAGCTGCCAACTTGCGAAACTTGCCCCTCAGGATTGGAACTATCACTCGATATGGACCAGCGGGTGAGTGATGTGAAACGTGAGGTCAGAGGTTAAATTTGGTAAGAGCGCACTTCGCGGGCTTAAACGTTATCTGACTGAAATTTTGGGGGGAAAATTCAACCCGTGGAGTCTTTTGATTCGTTAAATTCCACATAAACTATGACTTTTTAATGTTAAAATTTTACAATTTTTAGTGGATTCGTCTTCTTAATGAAACATCAAAAAGTGTACCAAAGTGAGGGCAAACTATTTTTTCAATACTTCTCCCCTTCAGTTACTGTGATTTTGTACTGATTTCCCTCTATAATATGCTGAAAAATTCGATTATACAATTACATTATAGATTTACAAACTGTATTCATTATGAAATTAGCATGAAAGAGGGCATGGGTTCATGGAAACCTGATCATGGAATCATTTAAAAAGTATCTGAAAGAAAGGTCCGAGTAAGCATAAATTATTTGACTTTTAGATTTCCTATGGTTAGGTGTTCGCTTGAACAGTACTTTCAGATAAATTTCAAACTTTTCCAAGATTTTTTGTGGATACTATTGTCAGATGGACAACAGAATGCTAAGTTTCAGGGATTTTCGTGAAAATCCCTTGAAATTGAGAACGTGGGTATCGGTGGATCGATTGACTTTGGATCAAGACAAGTCTATAGTCAATAGTCAAATCAGGCGTTCTTTGATATATCAGGCGAGTGGTTGATGGTTATCCTTTAGATTAAAATTCTCGATGTTTTAAATTTTTTTTTTTTTTTTTTTCAAAATGATGATTTAGAAACGTAAGGAAGAATCCTTCGTAAAATTCACAATAAGCTAGAGGTTTGGGGCTATTTTTATAATTTATAACGCTGAAATGAACTTTCATCTGAAAGATTTGTGTAAAAACTGAACACTGTTAATGGATATTTCTCAACTGCCCTTGAAGATAATGAAAGAAAACATTTGCACCTGTTAAAAACTCTGGCTGGTCTTCGACAGGTCATGCTTTTGAAGGTTTTAAAATATTGAAAACTTCCTTGAAAAATCAAGAGGGACTCTGTTAAGAACCTAAGAGACTGCGTAAATCTTTGAATTCCGACCACCAGCCTGAACATTTGATAAAACCTCTGATTTGACCGACAGATCCACCTTGCGGGCCGATTATTGAAATTGATAGACAAAGCTATAGAAAAATAAGACAAAAAGGGATATGGAATGATTCTATTGGTTGAAGCGAGTGGTTGCAATGGACAAAGGAGGTAGGTAATAAACTAACTAAAGACAATCCACTAGAGACCCTACAGTTAGTCCATCATATTCTCCCTTAGTCTATAAGAACCATCTATCTCAATAAATGGGATCGCTCCATAGTCCATACGTCTTCTTTATCTTTAGCTTTTTCTATCAATGTCGATAATCAACCCGCTGGGGGCTATTTAATCCGCTGAAAGGAAGGCGGATTTAAAGAGGAGGCGGGGGTCGTCCTGCTTTGAGCCGGAAGAGGAAGGAGTCTCGTTTCTATTTACATGTTGAGCGTGGTTGGGGGTTGGCGACGGTGGGATCTGGGGGGTCAGAGCTTGCCGGAGTAATGGGAGCCGATGTTGGAGGGGGGTCCCCGGTGACCGTTGTGGGGATGCGTGTGGTTGTTGCCTATCTTGCCGTGGGCAGGCGCCGAGTAGCGGCTCCCCGGCCTCGAGTGGACGATGGCGTAGTGATCGCTGTTGGTCGACATGCTCCGCGTTGAGTTCATTGTAGAACCACCCGACGTGTAGCCTGGCTTCCCGTTCAGCGAGTACCTGCAATACACGCAAATACACCATTTTACACTACTACCCAATTTTTAAGTCAAATGTGGGCGAACGCACCACTAAAAAAGGTACAAAACTGAGTGTGGCTAAAGAGTGAAACACAGTAATTTCAAAATGCCTATTCCGTGGGAGAGCCCAAACACCGTTGTCACTTTTCACTTGAGGTAAACACTGCTGTGCGAAGGAAGAACGCCGTGCGAGCCTCCAGACGTTGACATATTTTCTCCGATAAAAAGCGAATTTGCTAGGTAAATTGTGAATATTTTCCCCCAATTTTTCAGACGGTTTTGTTCGCAATTTAATCTAAAATAGAGAATATCCAAAAAAGAATGCATTCTTTTCCTAGAAAAATGATAATTTTACCGTTAGACAACATCCGAAGTTTCATAAGGCGTTTTTCCTCATCACTTAAATTGATGGCCTCATAACTTTTAATGCGCAATTGCTCACGATCATTCTGGCTTCCTTTTTGAAAATTCATGAGAGACGCGCGTTTAGGCCCCCCCCCCCTCCGGTAAGGAGCTTCTTCGGTGCCGAAACTAACGCTAAAACATTAAACAAGACGACGGTTCCAACGTTAATACGTTGGGGAGCGTTCACCGTAGCACCTATCGTCAATATGTAAAAGTGGTTTTGCGCGGACGGAAGAGAGCGCTGCAAGACGCTGTTGAACTAAACGTGGAGCGTAACCTAGGAAACATACATATATACAAGAGATGTCTTGTCATCATAGAGTAAAATATAGGGGTAAAAGGGGTACTTCGTACCCAAAAATTTTTCTAGAACTACGACGACAAAAAATTTGAACGATGCTTGAAAGAGTCATTAAATAAAAGTACGTTGCAGAGTTTTAAAACGTAAAGATATTAATTTCTCAAAGACAAGCCTACAGGCATTACATAAAGTGGACAAAATAGGAGAAAAAAGGTAGAAATGGTACATAAATAAAATTGAGAAATTAGGTATTGCTTCCCGCCACGAAAAATGGCGCCAATTCCCATGGAGCAGTGCGGATCTTTACCAATGGATCCATTATAGTAACATACCCGCTGCAAAACGACGGGAAAGAGCGTACACTACTAACGTGGTGAACGCTCAGAACACTAAAAAATCCATCCATTTTAGTGTATTTAGTATTCTAGCGTTAGTTTCGGCACTAAAGAAGCCCCATAAAAGATACAGTAGGGGAAGGGGGGGGGCAAAACGCGCGTCTATTATGAATTTTCAAAAAGGAAGCCAGAGTGCTCGTGAGTAATTGCATTATTATTATAATAATGGCGGATTCAATGTTTATTTAATAACTTTTCTTTAGCAATTAAATTTGACAATAGCTGATGTGGCTTGGGTCTTTTCTGCCTAACGCGGTCAAATTACACAATCATCAAAACCGGAGTGGAAAAGACCATGGTATGCACTTTCGCAAAGTGTGACGACAGTATAATCATTATGCACTATTTCCAGTATTTCGGATAAATTTAATAGGTAGAGTATGGACAGATCGCTTCATGGAGAGCTTAGGGCCCAAAAGTGCAGCCACCCTTCTAACCAACTTCTGACGCACTAAATTTCACTGCCACTCTGTGGATTCCAATTCTAACGAAGATGGCTAAGAAAGTACATAAATGAGCGTTCTTCCACAAAAATGAGTAAATTTATGCAAAAACTAAGTCCAATACGTGCTTTATAAACGATGGTTCGTAACAATTGTATTGATAAATCGTTCTGGATAATTGAAATTCATAAGTTGGCTGCATTTCTGGGCCCTAACTTTATTCGCGGAAGCATCGGTGAAGGCCTGATGGATTTTCGGAGTTTCACATCTGTCTATCCCCTCGCTATACAGGTACTCTAGATCTCCTCATTTTAGCGGGAGAAAATATCAAGCTTTATGATGGATTACCTGGATCCGTACTGGGAGCCGTGCCAACTCCTGTAGGGGTCGTAGTCTTCGATGATGCTGGGTTCCTTCTCGATGACCTCCGTGCGGGCGCAGGAGCAGGTCATGGCCGAGCAGAGGAACACGTTGATGATGAGCATGAGCAGGAAGAGGGCTCCAAAGATTATGCATAGCCACAGAAGCCACGCCGGCCGGATACCGCCCTCGTCACACAGCTCCGAGTACACTGCCGAACAGAGATGAAAAAGGAGGTTTCAGTGCGATACATCTAGAGGGGACTTGACTACCGTCACAGCGAAGAGAGCCGTAATAGTAGGGCGGATAAGGGGAAAAAGTTCCCAGAATCGTGCATTTCTGGAAGAAAGCATGAAACTTTCANTGCCGAATTTTCGCGTTGGATCATCGTGAGAACGCCGTTAACAATGTAAAATGTAATCAAAACTTGTGTAAACGTCATTAGTAGGTTCTCTCAAACAGTATCCTAAAATGCTATCACTGTCCGATCCCGGAGCACCCCTCAAAATGCCTAAAATTCAAAGGCATAAAGGCATAAAGGCAAAAATTAGGTTTTGAGAAAATGGGTTCACAATCGGATTGCATTTTGCGAAAAGGAACCAGAAGCATTGCAATGATGCTAAGATTGTGCAACTTCATCCTTTGCAATCTAATTACTGACACCATGAAAAAGTTCAATATTTAAATATTAATTTTTGTCGTAAATTTACACGTTTTAGCGAGTAAAGTAGAAACTGTTGATGGATAATCAGGTTTTTTACCTGTAGACAAGAGGAGTTGCACAATCTTAGCAACATTGCAATGCTCCTGGTTCCTTTTTGCAAAATTCAATCCAATTGTAAGCGGAAAATTTTATTGGTAGAAGCCGCCGTTTATCAAATTGGCTCGTGTCATCCAAAGGACTGTCAGAAATTGTTCGTATGATTAAAAATCGACGAATTTTTTTATTCAATTATATGAAAAGTCTTTTTTCATTTTCATGTGTGGGTAGTCTTAGGCAAGCCAGTCCTTTGCATGCTTTCATGGTTGCGTTTTAGATACACGATTAAGGTTTGAAATTAGCAGAAAAGGGCGCAACCATACTTAACAGTACTGCTCTCATTGGCTCCCTGGTGGAATAATGTTCCCAACGGCTGTTCTGTGCAGTTACGGTTTTCTCATATATTTCGTTTTTATATGAATTTGGCTATTTTAGAGCATTAGTGATTACCTTTAGTTCCCTGACTGTTAGAGCCCGGCTTTAAGCTCGATTACTATTCTTATTCTGTCTCCAGCGGGGCGATTATTGAAATTGATGGACAAAGCGATAAACAAAGAGGATATAGGGAGTATGGAGCGATCTTATTGGTTGACATGGTTGGTTCTTATAGATTAAGGAGGAAAATGATGGACTAACTGTCGGGTCTTTAGTGGGCTGCCGTTAGTTAGTCGATTACCTACCTCCTATGTCCATTGCCACCACCTGCTTCCACCAATAGGATCCCTCCAAATCCCTTTTGTCGTCTTTGTCTATAGCTTTGTCTGTCATTTTCAATAATCGGCCCGCTGATGGTAAGTTAATTACTGTTATGCTGCCGCGCTAAGGAAAAACGCCGTATGAACATTTGAGAGTTGTCAAATGTCTCCGGATAAAACATATCTTTTTAACAAAAATAATGCTTATTTTTCCTTGAAATTCTCAGATGTTTTAGATGAAATTGAGAACAACATTTTCTAGAAATTTAAAAACAATTGAAAATCCTCCCGAGGAAATTCGTTTCTTATGGAAGGAAATATGGCAAAGTTTGAAGGTTCTTACGGCGTTCTTCCTTATGACGGCAGTGCGAGAGTCGTCAACTTACTTGGGGTCTCGCCAGGCTCGAGGACGAAGACACTGGTGGAAGCTGAGAGAACTCCTTCGTCGGAGGGTGTGTCGCTGTAGATATCCTTGGGCAAAGCTCTGGCCGCCGTCAAAGGTCCGTTGTCGCACTGCACCTCCCCACAGGAGCCTTTGCAGACCATGATGTCGCACTGGAAGTGGATTTCGGAGCTCTCCGGAAACCGGAACATCGAGTAGAGGCTCGCGTCGGCTTGCGACAGCTTCTCGTCGTACTTGAACTTGGAGATCACTCGTGGGTTCACCGGACACCTGCAATATAAATTTAATCCTTCACAAGTCGCCAGAAAAGGGATTACGTAGCATGGTGTCAACGATCATGGTGTCAACAAACAGTTTTTCTAAGTTTTTGTTGACACCATGATCATCCAAAAATAAAAAATTCTGACTCTTTTGAAAAATGATCACGGTGTCAACGATCACGACGTCAACGAAACTTAAAACTTGCCTGAATAACATCTTTCAAATTTCAAGTTTGGTTTTTCTTGTGTTATTTACTCTAACCTAACCTAACCTAACCTAACCTAACCTAACCTAACCTAACCTAACCTTACCCCACATGACTTTAACCTTATCTACCTACTTAATCTAACCGTAAATATCTTGACCGAAACTAACCTAATTCAACTATACGTGACCCAGACCTCTCCTGTACACTTATTTTTTTAATTTTAATCGTAAGAAAGATATTTTTCTGTTTGTTGACACCGTAATCGTTGACACCATGCTCAGGGCCCATTTTTGCGTTTTACTGCTTGAGCACGACGTCAACGATCGTTGACTCCATGATCAGATTTTTGGTTTGTTGACACCATGATAGTTGCCACCATGCAACGTTACCAGAAAAGGGTGACAATGCCCAGGAATGGGTCCGTTGCATGCAAGAGGTACAGCCGTGTTAATAAACTTTCATAATGATTCGAGGTTTTTCTCGCTTTATGGCGTGGTCGAACAACAGGCGTGAAAATATATCGCAGCATTAAATCAAGAATCTCGGGAGATTTTAAACTTTTAATCAAAGAAGGGACAATAGCACCTACGCATGAGCCTAAGGAATCATTCTTGACCAAAAAATTGGCAAAATCTATGGAGAAATGCGAGCAGAATCCTGTTTGCACGTTCCCCTCGTGCAGGGTGGCAAAATTTCATGAAAAATAAAATCTTGAAATTTCACGTGAAATATTTCATGAAATTTCTAAAATTTCAGAAATTTCATGTAAGATATTGAAAAACACCGGTTCCTTTTCATGTTTCGCAATACGTGAAAATTGTGAATTTCCTCTATTTTTGTGTGTTTGAGTGCGGGTTGCATACTCTGGCCCCTGAAAAATGTGAAATATATCACAGCTTCGTAAAATTTCATGAGATATTTCACTGAAACTTCCAACCTTGCATTTGTTTCATTACGTTTCATACGTTTCTTACGTTCTGCCTTGGTGAGATTTTAGACGATGTTGAAAAATATTTTACGCCTAAAAGTTCGTTCCTCCGGCTAGAGCCAGACCAAAAACGGTTATGTATATTGAATAAGATAATCATTGTATTATCTAACGTTACTCTGTAAATTTATTGCAATTCGTTTAGTTTTCGTTTTAAATCATGTGGATGTATACAAAAAAATACTTGTAGCAGTTAAGTTATCCTTAGATAAAGTTCCTTCAAAAAGAAAATAAATAGAAAAAAATAAAAAAAAATTAATAAATAAATAAGGCGAGTGTAAAAGCATGCTTCAAAATGATCAAAAAGTAAAAATTCGTCATCTCCTTGCCCCTGGCTTCTCTCTTTTAAGCGCAGGGTGAAGTTATATTAAGTTGGCTATAATGTAATGTTGTACTCACCCTCTGTCGTCGATAAGAGGCTCACCGCTGATATTTTTTTTGCTGAAAGCAAAGCACGATTTGACGCGAATTCCATACATGCCTGCGAACAAAGCAAAGTAATGCATTCCAGATGAACAATTAAAGAGAGTAAGATTGGTGTTTTTGATCAGTGATGTTCATAATTTTTTATTCTTAGTTTCATAGGGACTAAGAAGTGGCTGGCTAAACCTCGCATTAAAATCTAAAGCCCCTTGAAGATAGTATTTTTTTTAAAACAGCCGGTGATATCGGCGGTTTGCTTACTCGTGCAGATCTTCATTTCGGAGTGCCTAAATGTCATACAGTGTTTTTGGACTAATTGTTGTTCAAGTCCACTACACACTGACACTCCTGACAGCGGTGAAGATAAGCTGTTCAGCTGCTCGGTAAAAAGGTAGAAGTGCAGGTCTGCCAACAAAGCCCGAGCAAAATTTTGCATTGTTTTTAAGAGTCGCTTGACATTTGAATCTACGACAGTGTCGCGTAAGAGACCCGGAGGCTGGGATGGTGAAATTTGTGGAATGCGCGCAAAAAATTTCCCGAGCACTCCGTGAACTCTGAATAATCGGTCGCACACATAAAATATGCTTTGAAAAATAGTGGGAATAATTGCCGAGGCAAATGAGTGCATTGCGTCTCTTGAAATAAAAAGTTTAATTATTTTTCTGTGTCCTTTGGCTTCATGCAGAACATATAATGCAGGTCTCTGTTCTTTTTTTTTTGTTTTCATCAACCAAGTCGGCGCGATCAAACGCACATTACTACAGGAGGGGCTACAAAAACCGGTCATTAGGTTTTAAAGAACAAAGGACTAACAAAAGTCCTGGAGTGCTAGGGACAGGCATCAGATGAACATGTTGAATGATGAACATGTACAACAAAGTTGCAGATAATTAAGATAGAAACTCCCCTGAAAAACTGAAGGAAAATATTCAGAAGTTATACCCTTTAGAAATCGTATAATTTATCAGAGGAAAGGCAACGTCCTAACTTGATGCGGCAGTCTTTAGATATTTTTGTAGCATTTTAGATACACTGGGTGAAACAAATTAGTCAAACTCACCATTTCTCACAAAACAACGAATAAGAAAGAAAAAACGGACGCTGTGCTGTTGGTAGAAATAGGGGCATGATGGAACAAACAAAACACGGTGCGAACAAAACACACTCTTGCGTGTTTCCTTTCCAAAATTACACGTAGAAAATAATTCACAGCTTGAAAATTTGAGAATCAACTCCTACAGAGGAAGTAAATATGTATGATTAACATTAATTAAATGATAATATCAACACACATGAAGTCATTTATCTTCCATTGGATCAGTGTTAAAGTGTACCTATAAGTTGATTCCTCGAGTTAGTTTCCTTTGCAAAAATACTTTTACTTTTTACACGTGAATTTTTGGGAAAAAGCCTAGAACACGATGCTACTGCGTCTTATTCTACCTTGCGCAAGAAACTTTTTCACTGGTCTCTATTTCTGTACTAAAAAATTATAAATAAAATGAGAAATTTATCATATCAATTTAATTTATTGAGCTGGTTCTGGTTAATTCATTTTTTTCCCCAGTGTTATTCTACATATAAGCAGAGCAAGTGCACAATCCTGAAAATGCGAGGATAGCGGTTTCCCATTGACATCTTTAGATCAATTATTATTCGTCGGTTTTTAATATCTAACTACAGAAAATTATACACGAACAACCGAATTGTCTTTTCCCTCCATAATGAACAAACTCACAATATTCCAACTGTTTAGATAAGTTTAAGGCATGTAGTTTAAAAAAAGAGAAACCATCAATTTACTTGAAGAGTTTACTTCAATGCTCTTTTAACACGGCTGCCTAATTCCCTGCTCAAGTCACACGATTCGCATATCACGCAGAGTGAAGCAAGTATTGTGTGTTGCTGTGATGCTAATAGAAGGCGCTTCTTATGAATTTTAGTTAAAGAACTGAGATATGCGCGCATCACATTATGAACATTCTCCTTGTTGGAAATATGTTGACGATTGTGGGTTGTTCTATATGGATGAAAGCTGTTTAAGCTTTTAAATATTGCCACATTTCCGCCTTTAAATTATATTTTGGCCGATAGTTTCCTTTATTTTCCTTTGGAATTTTCAGATATTCCTGCTTAAGTTAGGAACCAAATTCTGCGAAAATTCCAAGTAAACGTTTACAAGTTTTCTAGCGGGTAATAATGTATTTTATCGAAAGAAATTCATCATTATCCAAAAGTCCATGCAACGTTTCCTCCTAGCAAGGCTAGGAGGGAATGCTTGGAGGGAAACGTAAATCTCGGGCGCACAGTTGTCGAGATTGAACTTTTCATATGAAAAAAGCCGTGACTGTAAGGTGTTAAGTTTTCAAAAAATAAGAAAAAACCTAACCCTTCCCATGCGGTCGTCCCACGGACTGTATACACCGAGAAAAAAAACACAGTTATTCTACCGTTACAATAGTACTACCGACCGTGGAATTTTGATTCTTGTAACGATGAGAGCGGTGATATGGCACAGACATACTATTATGAGCATGGTTATGCTACTATGCTCATCAATAATATTACCAAAATCCACGGTTCTACCGCCGTGGCATCCCGTGTGACATTAGTACCGTGGTAACCGTCGAATAACCGTGTTTTTTTTCTCCGTGTAGAGAGAGCTGCCCGGCACATACTTAAAATTTGATTGCACGACCAGCGGGCTGATTATTGAAATTGATAGACAAAGCTATAGACAAAGGAGACAAAAGAGATGTGGAGGGATCCCATTGGTGGAAGCGGGTGGTTGTAATGGACAAAGGACGTAGGTGATGGACTAATTAACGGCAATTCACGAGAGACCCGATAGTTAGTCCATCGTTTACTCCCTTAGTCTATAAGAACCACCCATTTCAACCAATAGGCTCGCTCTATCCTCCTTATGTCTTTTTTGTCTATAGCTTTGTCTATAAATTTCAATTATCGGCCCGCTGATTCGACAAAACTCGTTCACCTAATCTAAGGAACGTGACTGAGCGAGGCAAAACTTAAGTTCGAAGGTTAACGTTTTATTTCAACAATTGATGATGGATGAACAGCTTGTTGAGCTTAAAATTCGCCGAATATAACTGATGAATACGTTGATGGATACGCAATTTGCTAAGCGAGTATTTGCAACTTAGAAGCGAATTATCGTGAGTGGATTTGGTTGCCTTTGTCGACCAAATCCTAGTGGAGAATGTCTTTTATCAACCCAACCAACTATTCTGTTGAGCTCATCAGCAACCGACTCATCTCCGGAGGTAGGTCGAAAAGTGGATAGGAGCAAACGGTTTCACCAGGAATCTCGAAAAGCAACCATTTCTTCCAAAATGGCGGTGCTCTGCGCGATAAAATAACAACTGAGCAACAACAACCGCGCGGTGATGGTGATGAAGTAAAGTGTACAAAATGCACATATTTTTGTACATTTGTATGATATTCTATATTGGCCAATCGCCTTTTTTTTGAGCCTAATCCGGGATTTGACTCATTTTCTTCAGGATTTGGTTGGAAATTAGATACTCGTTTCTTATTGGTGATTGGTCCCAATTCCAACGTTGATACAACAGTCATACATAGATATAAGTCGCTTTACAGCACTCCCTCGCGCTCCACGACTCCTAACCTCCACTGCTCTCTTTCAAACCACAAATCATGGGGGATTGAGAACCTTAACATCTCCGCTTCAATCCCTTCCCTCCAACCTTTCAATGGGCGCCCTCTGCGTCTTCTCCCAGGAGGAACCCAGTCAAGGACCTTCTTCGGCAACCTGTCTCCTGCCATTCTCTGGACATGACCATACCAAATGAGTTGTTTTGTCATAATGTAATGCACGATGATCTGCTTGGCATCCATGATTTCTCGTACCGTCTCATTCCTGACGCGATCCTTTCTGGAAATACCCACGGATCTACGCCAGAAGTCCATCTCTGTTGCCTCTAGAACCTCCCGGGTCCGCTGTTTCATCGGCCATACTTCACACCCGTGTAACAGTCATATCTATCTAAAAAATTATCCGAATCCAGTTGCGAGCATTTTCCTAAAAGGGGGATTGATAAAGCCGACCACCCACATTCCTCTATTCTTCTTAAGTTTTCCATACAGTAGGTGGGTAAGACATTACAGGGAAGGTTTGATAAACCAGTTGCAAACTCTTAGATCATCAATCAACACTCGGCGAATCTGAGCGTTGACTTCAGAGAGTTCCTCTTACATGACAGGGAAGAGGGAAGATAACCGTGTGGATAAAATACAGGATGATCCAAAAATCTCACACCACTAGCGCCAGGCGGAAATTGAGATAAAGGGGCTTGAAATTTTGTGCTCCTAACCTAACGTCTAGAGAAAACATGATTTGAGAACACCTAAAACTTTAAAGGTACCAGATGACCGCCCTGAAAAAGGACAAGAGCCTAAGGGTGGCACGGGGCTTTGAGATCACCCTGTATAATGCCTCCGTTTGAATGCCGGTCATCTGGTCTCTTTAAAGTTTTCTCAAACCATGTTTTCTCTAGACGTTGGAGTCAAATTTCAAGCACCAATATCTCAATTTCTGCCTGGCGCTAGTGGTGCGGGACTTTAGCACCATCCTGTATTTTACCCGCACGGTTATTTTCCCTCTTCCCTGTCATGTAAGAGGAACTCCCTGAAGTCAATGCTCAGATTCGCCGAATGTTGATTGATGAACTAAGAGTTTGCGACTGGTTTATCAAACCTCATCTGCAACGCCTTACCCACCTATTGTATGGAAAACTTAGAAAGAATAGAGGAATGTGGGCGCCCTGAAAAAGGACAAGAACCTGAGGGTGGGACGGGGCTTTGGGATCACCCTGTATATTGCCTGCGTTTGAATCCCTTTTCTCGCGGCTGCGACGTCCGGATGACGTCATCGATCATGGACCCTGCTTGCCTCTAGAATTCGGTCCTGATGTGACTTCCTGCGAGCAATGATCCAAGCATGTAAAATGCACTGTCTGTCTGTGTCCGTCATTGACCCAATCGGTACAGGCGCTTTGTGTGTCTCACGTTCGGTTC